GAGTGAGACAAAAGCTCGCTCCAGTGGGCTGAGGGTTTTAAGTCTTAGCTTCACCTGTGTGACTGTGGGCAAGCAAGTTAAGCGCTGGAATTAAATGACTTCATTTGCAAAAGGAGATATCATCTATTTTATAAAGTTGTTTGGTTTTGATGGATTTCAAAAGACAGCACTTTTTGGTGGCAGTGGTAGTTTTTTTGAGATAGAATCTTGCTATGTAGCCCAGGCTAGCCTCAAACTCGTAATGCTCCTGCCTCAGTCTCCCAAATTCCAGGATAACTGGTGTGTGCCACCATGCCCCTAAAGATAGCACATTTAAAAGCACTTAACAGTCTTAGCCCATGATAGACAAACATTTTTCCCTACATTATCTTGAACTTCCAGGAAATACCATGTTAAAAGCTCCCCAGGTCAAAGAGAAAACCACTGAGGAAGGCCGATGGGTTTAGAAGGAACTTTTGGAACTAAACCGAAAATGACTCATGAGAAGAGTTTTCTGGATCTAGGAACCAAACAAACTCATGTTTTCCATTCTGATGAAATTCAGAGGACCAATTCTGTACATCTAAATGAACCACGGGTCATAAAAGCAGCTCAGAAGACCAAAGAAGGAGGCCCACAGAGGTGACTGGAATGCAACAGCAAGTCCAGACAAGAAAGGAGTCAATGCACACAGTGCCGAGGCAGTGCATGAAGCATTCTGGTACCCAACTATGTTACAGCGACATCTACAGGAGGGAAATAACCATAGACACAGGGGAAAGGCCTTCTCTTCATGAACTAGAAGGTTTGAGTTTCGATTCATAAAAAAACAAGGTTCTGGGGCATGAGAAAAGCTATTTATTTAGAAATTTAGGAAAAAATATTTTAAAGACTCATTTCATAATAAAAATCATTTAGACTGAAAGTCCAGGAAAGTGTTTTAAGATCAGGAATAGCCAATTCTGAAGCAAGCTAGAATGAGGGTAAAACAAAAACAAGGAAAACCAACATTTCCAAATCTGCTCTCGACATTAATTCTGTGATTTCCTCCCTTGTGATAGTCAAGAATACAAATACTATGCTGGGCACAGTGGCTCACGTCTGCAATCCTAGCTACCCAGGAGGGAAACCTGGGAAGAGGATGATTCAAGTCAAGCCTGGGCAAAAAGTTAGTGAGACCTCTAATTCAACCAATAAAAGCTGAGTGTGGTGGTGCACACCTGTCATCACAGCTACTTGGGAAGCACAAATAGGAAGAGCATAGTCCAGGTCATGCCTGGGGGCATGGCTCAAGTGGTAGAGTGGCTACCTAGCATTTACAAGAACCTGAGTTCAAACCCCAGCTCCACCAAATAAAAGATACAAATATTAGAAATCTGGCTTACATGCCAACAAACCGTTTTATGGCTGACAATAATAACTGAACTTGGTCTTCCTTTTCCCCCACGCTCAAAACTTGGTTTTAGAATTCTTGTTCTTAAAGTTCTCTGGGCCACCATTATCAGATGACTAGAATTTACACTCTAGAAAAAACCCAGCTGAAACCCTTGGTATAGAGATGCATAATTCATATACTTAAAACAAGGTACAGGCAACCCTTGGTATCACTAGGTTCAGCCATAGGATCCATGTAAAGACCAAAATCTGTGGGGGCTTACATAAAATCACAGTATTTACATATAACCTATAAACAACTTCCCATATACTTTAAATCATCTCTGGATTATTTAATACCTAGTTAAAATGCAAATGCTGTATCATTATACTACATTGTTCAGGGAACAATGAAAAGAAAACATTTTGTACAGATACAATACAGACATTTTTTCTGCACTTTCCAACTACGATTGGTTAAATTCACAGATATGGAACTGATGGCTATAGAGGGCTAACTGTACTTACTTAGCCCAGGACAAAAGCAGTCAAAAGGAATGCCAACTGGAATGAGGGGTAAAGGGCAAACAGGGCTGTCGGAATCACTTACAATTAGGGGAAAGGAAGAAAAAGAAGGTAAAACTAACCAGAGAAACAAGTAGAAACCATCAAGTTTTCTATAGTAGTTTCCAAAACAAGAAATTTATTTCCAGTGGTTTTCTATAGTAGTTTCCAAAACAAGAAATTTATTTCCAGTGGTCTGATACATAACCATAGAATCTAAAAGATTATGAGAAGGAAGACAGGATGAACAAAGGAAACTTAGAAAGACATCAAACTATATAAGGTTCCCTATTTTCCCCATCAAAGATATAGGTAATTAAGGGTTTTCTGGTTGGTTTGTTTGTGTCAGTTATTTTTTAAATTCTAAACATATATTTATTGGTACAAAGATACCTTACAACTGTCAGAAATTACTCATTTGCCAAGCAAAATAATAAAAAGCAATTTAATTAAAAAAAAAAACTTTTACATGATAGCTGTACAAATACACCAGTGTCACACATATCCCTGTGATTAGAAAAAAAATGGAGATGCTAAAAATAATGTTGTAGAAGTACATTCATTAACATAGAAAGGTATTCATAACAAGTTTTAAATACAAGTTATAAGAGAATGTTCACTATGACCCAGGTTTTTTGTGTTTTAAAAAAATCCAAAGGCATAAAAACCATCACTTAAGAAATCCTAAATAATCAACCAAAAAACTAATGAAGCTAACAAATTCAGCAAAGTTGAAGGATATAAGATCAACATACAAAAACCAGTTTTATTTCTAACCATACACTAACAATGAACCATAAAAAAAAATTTAAGAAACCATTTCATTTATAATATAGTATGAAGGAATAAGGAATAAATTTACCCAAGAAGATACAACACTTATATACTGAAAACTATAAGACACTTGAAAGAAACTAAAGAATAACTAGAAACATTTAAAATGTATCCCATGCTCATGAACTAGACTTTTTGGGGTTTTTTTTAAATGTCATAAAGACATTTTAAAAATGTCATAAATGTCATAGGGCAATACTCCCAAAAGTGATCTACAGATTCAGTAGGATCCCCACCAAAAACCCATTGGACTTTTTGTAGAAACAGAAAAGATGATACTAAAATACATATGGAAATACAAGGGATCCCAAATAAACAAAATAATCTTGAAAAAGAACAGTTAAGAGAACTCACATTTCTCAATTTCAACACATACTGCAGACTACAGCAACCAAAACAATGTGGTACTGGCATGAGGACAAACATGAAAGTCAATGGGACAGAAAAGTCCAGAAACAAATCCATACATCTGCTCAGCTGATTTTTTGACAAGACTATTTCGTGAAAAAGAATACTCTTCAACAAACTGTGCTGGGAGAACTGAATATCCACTTGCAAAACAAAGAAACTGGACCTTTATCTCACGCCATCTACAAAAATTAACTCAAAATGGATCAATGACCTAAATGTAAGAGTCAAAAAGATAAAATTCATAGAGGAAAATACAGAGGTAAATATTCATGATCTTGGATTTGGCAATGGTTTGTTAGATGACACCAAAAATGCAGCACTAATAGAAAAATTAAACTTCAAAAATAAAAATTTCTGTGAATCAAATGAGGACATCAAGAGAGTAAGACCAGCTCACAAAGTGGGGAGAAAATACTTGTAAATCATATACACCTGATAAGTATCTCCGTACTTATAAGAACTTAAAGAACTCCTAAAGTTCAGTAACAAAAAGGCAAAAAACCTTTTTGTTTTTGAGACAAGCTCTCTCTACGTAGCCTGGTTGGCCTTCAACTCATAATTCTCCTGCCTCAGCCTCCAGAGCTGGGATCACATGCTCGCTTCATCATACCCAGCAAAGACCTAAGTTTTAAAAGGGCAAAGAATGTGAATAGACATTTTTCCAAAGAGATAAACAAATGACCAATAAGTACATGAAAAGATGCTATTATTAGCCATTAGAAAAATTCAAATCAAAGCACAATGAGACACCTCTTTATCCACACTAGGTTGTGTATTATCCCAAAGGGATAATATTAAGGATTAGTATGGATGTGGAGAAATTGGGGTCCCCACTTGTTAAGAACATAAAATGGTACAGCTGCTATAGAAAACAGTTTGGCCATTCTTGAGAAAGTTAAACATAAAATTACCCTATGATCCTGTCTAGCCAGCGTGAAGCTCTGAGTTCAAATCTCCATACCACCAAAAATAAATAAAGAAATTACCCTATGGCCTAGTAACTCCACTCCAAAGTAACTACCTGAAAGAACTGAAAATGGTATCATGTACTGAAATAGTACATGATACCTAATTATATACGTACAATATTAATGTCATAGATTAGTTGGAATACAAAAAATAAAATTAAATTTTTAAAAAGAATTTTAAAAACTAAAACTAGGTATTTCTTGCACACAAATGTTTATAGAAACACTATTCACAATACAGAAAATGCAGAAATAATCCAAATATCCATCAACTGAAGACCAAATAAACAAAATATGATATAGCCACATGTTGAGATATTACTCAGCCATAACAAGGAATGAACTAGTCAGGCACCGGTGGCTCACACCTGCAAATCCTAACTGCTCAGGAGGCAGAGATCGGGAGAATGGAGGTTTAAGGCCTTCCCAGGCAAACAGTAAGACCCTCTTTCGAAAATACCCAATGCAAAACTGGGCTGGCAGTCAGAGTGGCTCAAGCTGTAGAGTGCATGAGTTCAAACCCAAGTACTGCCCCCCAAAAAGGAATGAACTATTGATGCATGTACAGTCTCCTTTTACGGTGATGGAAATGTCTTGGAACTAGACTGAGGTAATGGCTATACAATATTATGAATGTACCAAATGCCATTTTACAATGGTTCATTGTTAATTTTTCATGAACTACCTCAGTGAAAAGAAACCAAAAATTTGGTCTCAAAACCTAAAATATTTTAAATGAATTTATTTCCTATTCAGAAACCACTACAGGTTTTTTGATAGATTCAAAGAGATTTCATCATGGCATTTTTCACAAAGCTATTCTTAAAAATATTTCTAACAATAATAGTCGTTGAATGTTCTATTTCTTACCAGCAGACTCTTTCCCATTCTGTTTTTCATAGAGGGTGCCCACAGACATCAGGAAAACAATAACCAGGAATACTGGAATTCTCCATGAGCCAGCCAATGATGCTGAAAATTATTAAGAATTAATATTTTTAGTGAAATAAAAATCTAGGACTTAATAAAAAAAGACTCATTTTTGTAGATTTACAGAACGATTTGGCATACCTGTTATTTAAGATATTATTTCACAGGGGAAAAGAGTTTTAAAGATAAACCTCACTTCAAGGATTCTTTCTTGTAAGCTCATCCCTGATCCCTGCTCTCTATGGACCTGGTCTAAAAGATCAGGTTCGTGTGCCAGCCCACTCTAATTGGGCTTGTATCTCCTATGGAATCCAGTCTACTCTAAGAGCACAGCAAAAGCATCAATGTATGTTCCTCAGTAAGTAGTGCAAAAATGTGAACAAGTCTGCAAGGAATAGGTCCCTAGCCCTACCCACTTGCATTTTCCTGAGTTCATCTAGAGCTCAGACATCTCTGCCTGCCTCTCTCCTCTGCCTTCCCCAAATTCAAAATGAGCCATATTAGATATTAAAGATCTTTCAGGTAAACTCTAGCATTACAACTTCAACAAACTAGAGAATAATACTTTGTTCAACATCAGACTCTAATCAGATACAATTTCAGTCAACTGGTTTTTTAATCTAAAACAATAAATAGCTCTAAGACAGGTGCTGGTGGCTCACGCCTGTAATCCTAACTGCTCTGGAGGCAGAGATCAGGAGGATCGCGATTCAAGGCAAAAAGTTCAAGAAACCCTATCTCAAAAATACCCAACACAAAAACGGGCTGGCAGAGTGGCTCAAGTGGTAGAGTGCCTGACTAGCAAGCATTAGGACTGAGTTCAAGCCCCAATACCACCAAAATAAAACAAAACAAAAATAGTAAGTAGCTATAAAAACTACTTGATACTATCTACTCCTCTGGGTCACTAAATTTTGTTTTTAAATTAAAACTTAGTATTTCCATCAACTAAGACTTGGAAATAGAGTCCCAATCATATGTATCATGTTGAAAAAAAAAAATCACTCAACAACAACCTAGCAACCATCCACCCAACAGTGAATGTTTTCAGATCACAGGGAACTCATTATTCTGAGAAGCTCTGACAGTGACCTTCCCTATATTGAACAGGGATTCACCTCTCTGAAACTACTCACAGCTCTCTTCATGGTCACAGAGATCTGTCTAAACCACTCTTTCACAGGATGCAGTCCTTTAAATATTAATTGGAGGGCTTCATCATATCCTTCCCACTTCCACCTCCTCCCCCACTATTGCCCCAGGTCCTCCTTATCCAGAATAAACATCTCTGGTCCTTCTTTAACTATGACACACCAGAGTACCTCTTATCTTTGGCTGTTTATCTATAACCTCCATAAGAATGATGTAAGCAAAATGACCCTAACAGTCAATTGTGCTCTATTTCTTAAGATTTATTTACTTTTAAAGAATTTTATTAAAAAAGAACATGCAACATAATTAAAAGATTAACTTTTTTTTAATTTTACAGAGTTTGTTTGAGCAAATAATTTGTGAATTGGCAGTTCTCAGAACCAGAAGAGGTTCATTCAGACAGCTCCCAAAATATCAACATTTTAAAGCATATGATTTTCATTAAAAATTAGATTAAAACATAACATCTTATAAGAACTATCTTAAATGGAACATATAACATTACAAAGAATTCACTTTCACTCACATAGTTAGTCTCTGATGACCTTAAAACTAGACTTAAAAAAAAAAAAACAAAAAAGGGACCCACCTAAATGAAAAAGCAATATAATCCAGACCGGAATTGAAACTGCTCTCAAGTAGCGTTCAGTGCTTGTATTCCACTTGAATGAAACAGTCAACACATAGCCAACTACCAACGTCCAAATCTTAAATAAATGAAATATAGGTACAGTTGTAAAACAGATCATTATGAAAGTGAACACACAGTATATAACATCTGCACACATCTGCATCACATGGGTGCTCTGGACACAGTACAGAGGAGATGAAGGTTGGTGGTGATAAAAGGAACATATCCAGGTCTTCCTCCCCTGTTTAGATAAATTATTTTGAAATGAACAGACATTTGAAATCTCATGCAGTGATAGTTAAATATTTGCTTAACAAAAAATGCACTGTTTTAAGACTAGTTCAAACCCATTTTATACATAAAAATAACATAAAATATTCAATGTACAAGCCATGGATTTAAATTAAAAGCCTAATCTTACATAATTCCTAAGGTTTTCTCTGCCGATTAATGTTAAGCCAAAAAAATAAAACTTTCTAAAAAGAACTGGGTTAAGATCCTATTTTAGTCTATCAAACATTTGTTACTATAAAAGGAAGCTGCTAGAAAGGCAGCTGGCTGAAGTGTGAGGCTGCTTAGATAATCTAGGTTGTTAGAACCTAATCCAGAGCTATAAGCACCAGCTGAAGAACTATGCCTGAAAAAACATTTCCACAGGAAGAATAACAAGACTTGAAAACACAAGAACACAGCCAGAGTCCCCTCCTCTATTTTCCATACACTAAAGCATTTAAGAAGCATCACAAGAAACCAATGTAGCCTACATACACATAAACTCTTGCTTTAATAGAATGTTCACAGAAGAACAAATTTGAGCACCAAGAACTTATTAAAATAAGTCTGAGAATGTAAAATTCAAATTTAACATGAACCTTGGTTGAAGACAAGCAAATTAAAACACACAATTCAAAGAATGAAGAAAAAAATAGAACTATTTCAAAAAAAAAATCTACCTCCTACTTTCTTTACTTTGGCCACATCTATCAATAAAAATAATCTTTGGATCTTAAAAATGTACATAGCTTCTGACCTGAGATTCAGCTTTGGAATTTATCCTTACAAAATAATGACAGATTCTGAAAGGCTTTCAATATAAAAAGCTCATCAGAATGTGATTAAGAACAGTGGGGAGGTGATTACCTAAAAGGTTGACAACTGGGAAATGATTAACTATGGATGATTCATGCAATAAAATTTTATATAATCATTAAAATTGTTCTTTTTAAACAAAGACTACAAAGTTTTAAAATTCCTAATATGGTATTAAGTCAAAATAACATAAAAACACATGACATGACCACATCTACTACATGGTGGGGAAAAGGAAATGTATTAAGAAGTCAGTAGCTATATTATGGAGAGAAGATGTTTTTCTCCCACCCTCATCCCCACCCTCACCCCAGGGATGGGACCCAAGGTCTCAGGCAAGCAAAAAGTATGTGTCCATCCACCATCCTTTTACTTTTCTGATTTTTCCAAGTTGCCTTTATTGAACACTAATCCTTTTATAATGAAAAGGATATTAAAATATTTTTTCTCTAAGCAACTCTATCGGATGAAATATCAAAGAGCTCTTAAGCCCAAAAATATATGAAGACATAGTAAGTAGACTGCGGATATTCAAAAACGTTCAGGATTGCAAGATCAGACAAACCCTGGAAACTCAAAGAAAGATCTGAGTACAGCAACAGTACACTCATATAACATAATGTGATGTTATATTAGAACAGGCCCTGTTCTAATGCTTTAATAGTATGAACTAAAATAAACCTCATAATCCCCCAGGATCAGCATTATCATTATCCTTATTTTACAAATGAAAGAAACTGATATTTCAGGGAAGTGACTTGCCCTAAGTCACCCCAATAACAACAGAGCCTAAATTAGAATCCAGAAATCTGGCTCCAAAGTCTGCTTTCTTAACTATAAGAACAGAAAGACATCCTGCAGCAGCCAGGCACATGGCTCACACCTACAATCTCAGCTACTTGGGAAGCAGAGATCAGGAGAATCAAGGTTTCGAGGCCAGTCTTTGCAAAAAGTTAAGACACCATCTTAACCAATAAAGCTAGCTATGGTGGCATACACCTGTCATCTCAGTTATGCAGAAGACATAAATAAATTGGAGAATCACACAGTCCAGGCTGACCCAGGCAAAAACTGCAAGACCGTACTTAAAAAATAACCAAAGCAAAAAAGGCAGGGGACATGGTTTAAGTAGTAGAGTGACTGCCTAGCAAGAGCAAGGTCCTAAGTTCAAACCCCAAAATTGTCCAAAATGAAAGGGATCTTCAAGGTAGAACAATGAACTAGTTCAAATAACACTAAATTTAGGACTGGAAGTATGGCTCAAGCAGGAAAGCATCTGTTTTACAAGTGTGAAACCCTGAGTTTAAGCTCCAGTCTCCCCAACACACACAAATAAGATTAAATCTAATGAAGAGAAATGCAAAGTGCGCCTTTAGAGTCAAAACTCAACTGTATAAGCAGGAAATGGAGGGAGGATGCCTACGCTTCTTCTTAGGTTCAACGATTCAGAGTATGACTGGCACAAGTGCCTCTTTATGAAAATGTATTCTGTACTATCAAACTCCATGAACAATAAAAGTCAGACTGAGAAAGGAAATGGAAATCCCACATATGACATGTACATATGGGTGAGGGGGGAAGTGGCTAGCTTAGAAAAGAGACAGGAATATCAAGATTTAATAGCTATTCCCAAATAATGGGAAAAAACGTTATCTGGAAAAGGCATGAAACTTAATTTTTGGTGGTCCTGGGGAGGAAATAAGAGATGAAAGTTAGGAAGCCACAGATTTCAGCTAAATATGAGGATGAATTTTTCTAACAAATGATAACTGTCTAAAAATAGAACAGGTTACCACCACTAAAGGTGTTTGAACAACTGCTCACCATAATTTAGGGATGACAAGGTAGGAAAGTATGTCCTCGGCAAGACAAACTAGAAAAGATTTTAAGTATATGACTCTTTATACTAATCTCCAAGGAATTCATATCCTTTGCAGGGAGAAAAAAAAAAAAGACACCACATACTTCAGATTTTTTAAGAGAAATTCATGGTCTAAAGTGAAGCACGTATTTTCATCTAATGAACCTGAAACTCAAATTCCTTCATTTCAGCTTAAAATAAGCAGTTATTAAAATACTCCTCAATTTGACTGTTATGAGCATCTTGCAGCTAAACAGCAAAATATTCACTGGTACAGGTTACAATACAAAATACACAGCAATCTAGGTATCATTTAACAGGGGACTACTGAAATAAGTGTATCTCCAAAAATGGATAACTGTTCAGACTTTCAAAAGTATGATAAATTCCTTGAATCAAAAGCACAGTGTAAATTTATGCCTGTGTAAATTTATAATGGTGAAAATATGCTCAACCAAAAACATGTTTAAAATAAATATCGGTTGGGGGCAGGGGGGAGAAATGAACCAAGCCTTGTATGCACATATGAATAATAAAAGAAAAATGAAAAAAAATAAATAAATAAACATCGGTGATGGTTGGATTTTGAGGGTCAATTTATTTCTTTATGTTTTTTTAAAAATACTGAATTTCACACAAGTACATAATATTTTTATAAATAGAAAAAGATATGATTTTAACTTTTAAAAATGCGTCTTCTGATTTTAATGGATTTTTTTTGGTGGTGGTGGTACTTGGATTTGAACTCAGGGCTTCATGCTTTCTAGGCAGGTGCTCTACCACTTGAGCCACTCTGCCAGCCCCTTTTTTGTGCTGGGTGTTTGAGATAAGAGTCTCATGAACTATTCACCTGGGCTGGTTTCAAATGATGATCCTTCTCATCTCTGGCTCCTGTGGAGCTAGGATTACAGACGTGAGCCACCAGGGCCTGGCAGTTTTATATATTTAAAAAATATACATATTTTGAAGCATTTCCACAGAAAACATTCACAGAAATATTATTAGTTCAAAAGATATAGCCATTTGTAAAAACACTTTAGCACTTACAGTAAACATTAGGACTATACAATAACCAATGATTAAAACTGCTCATGACAGTATTCTAATACAAATTCAGAACTAAGGAAACCTGTCAGAAACACTTTCTAAAAGGACTCCAGGGGAAAAAAGTATTCATGCCATAGCAGTATTAAAAAGAAAGAAGCATATCTATAAGTGCCAATGAGAGGCCCACAATACAGGCATAAAAGAGGAAGGTACAGAATTATACGTATGGCATCCCATTTTAGTTTTTAAAAACAAAATTTAAAAAAACCCTATGCTTTAAACATTGGCACAGGCTGGGCACCAGTGGCTCACGTCTGTAATTCTAGCAACTAAGGAGGCAGAGATCAGGAGAATCGCAGTTTGAAGCCAGCCTGGGCAAATAGTTTTTAGACCCTATCTCAAAAATACTCATCACAAAAAGGGCTAGTGGAGTGGCTCAAGGTAAAGGCCCTGAGTTCAAGCCCCAGTACCACCAAAAAAAGATATTGGCACAGGCTTAGAAATAAATTTAGAAGGCTATATATCAAGCAACTAATAACAGTATATTATAAATACATTGTTAATAATACACTAATAATAGTGTATTATTAGTACATTTGTATAGTGGAAATAATGGAAAAGGGACAATTTACTTTTATCATATAAACTATGCTGTTTAAATTGTTTTTTATATAACAAACATGTTTTAAGTCAGCTTTTTAAATCACTAGTCTTTACATTAACTCAATGAAAATAAGTATTTGTACATCTACATTTATAGACAATTTGGGGGTTTTGGTTTTTGTGATACTGGGGAATTGATACCACGGGCCTCATACATGGCAGACAAGGGCTCTGTTACTGAGCTACATCTCCAACCCCCAGATACAATTCCTACTCTGAGACCCCTTCAGAGCATACCTGTTTGTTCTGAGAGGTCTCGCTACATAGGCCAGGCTGACCTCAAACTCTCTGTCCTCCTGCCTCAGCCTCCAGAGTGCTGGGATTACAGATTAAGCACTACCATGCCAGGCTAGAGTGCTTTTAAGCCTTCCCTCACACAGAAGCCTGAGGTTAACAAGTCAACTATATATATATATATATATATATATATATATATATATATATATATATATATATATATATTTATATTTATAAAAATATATATATTTATAAATATATATATATATATATTTAGCCTCTGAGCAAATCTATACATATGTGAATTTCCCCCTTCCACCTCAGGCATAAATCATTGGGCCACAGTTAAATAAAAGGTTATACTTTCCCAAAATTATGTTCTTATATACAATGTGTCCTTCTCAAAATGTATAGTCCATAGTCATTTCACAGCACCAAGGTGCTAGACACTATAAGACTGCATAAAATTTAGCAATATTCATTTAGCACTGCAAATAAAACAAACTAATAATCACATTTTCCTTTCACTTAACATGATTAACCACACAAGGTATACTTTTCTAGTTAAAAAATATATGGAGTACATAAAACCTTAGTGGAGACTCTGCCTTTCAGACTCAGGAAAAACTTGGCTTCAGTTGTATATTTTTGCAGGACACTCTCCTAAGTCTCTTTCAGACAGAATAAAGCAGACTTCCTCCCAAATCATGGAGCCATGGCCCTAATCACTGCCAGGCTCAACAACTGTTTGGAATACTTCATTCTCCTTTAAAACAGTTAAATTCTAATTTGAAAACTGTTCTCTTTAAGTCAACTGTTCTTGACTTCAGAGTCAAGAATTTTTAACTCTGAAAGAATTAAGCTCTGGAAAATTCCTCTTCATTGCTGCCAGGGAAAAAGCAACAAACCTAAGGGTTTAAAAGTAGAAAGGAGTAGACCCAAAAGGCTGGCCAGCATGCATTTCCTAAGGGCCTCTTGTGATCTGTAAGAGACAATATCAAGGAAACTCAGACATCATCCAGGCCAAGTCCTCACTTTACACAACTAGGGCTAAGGGGCTCAGAGCAGGCCCTTGGTCTGCCCCAAATCACAAAGCAAGTTACTGAGAGAGCCCAACTTATAACTTAAGGTCTTTTGATCTTTCAGCCACCATTCTTCCCACCTCATTCTTCTTTGTAAAGAGGGAAACAATGGGATCACAGAACATGGAAGAAAACAAATCTAAAATCGCTACTGCAAAAACTATAAATGCTCTTCAATTTTTTAACAAGTGTGAACAAAAGGGAAGAGATCAGAACACTCCCAACAGAGAAAAACTGTGAAGTCAGAGGCATTTGGCTTTTCAGATTTATCTTGCCCACCATGGAGAGACGCCAAGGTCTGAGTCTTACAAGTAAGCCAGGTACAATGAATGATTTTTTAAAAGAGTGTTCTGAAATCATCTACTAAGTCGACACAGTATTCCAATACATTTGGACTACTGAAAAAAGAATTACTCCTACGTATTAAGGATTAGTCTCTCATTTGTAAGCAAGATGGAATGTTAGGAGGAAACTGAAGTCAAGAAAAAGAGCTTAAGTACTCTAATGTGAGGTAAAGAGGAACCACACTGTGAGGATAAACTGGTGAGAAAGGGAAACACAGGTACTGAGGACACCACAAAGAAAACTGGATGGGGCCTAAAACCTGTAAAGATATAAGGATGGCAGAAGACAGAGATGACAAAGGTTCCAGAGACCTGTAATCGAGGGGGAGCAACTATGGTTAGTTCAATCCTGATATTCTTCTATATTTCTCCTGATAACTAAAATCAATGTTTACTTAAGAAAAATTAAGCACTTTAAACAATATATTGGGGCAAACTTTTTAAATCCTCACTGAAGGCTACCACAGAGTTTTGATGACAGCTAACTTCATCTACTGATAGATCTAGTGAATGCCTTTAGTGACAGCATGAACACATCACTCTCTAAATTAGTCTTCTCAGATATGAAAATCTTCTACTCCACAGGATTGTTATGAGAACAAAACTGTACTCATGTTAGTACCCAGTCCAATGTCTAGCACATGGCTGATGTTCAAAACTTAGAAACTAAATCAATTGTCCACTCACCAAAATTAAATGTAACTTCTCCTTCTACCTCTCTCATCTATACCTCTCTTCAGCAGCAGGCTTGCCTTTACAAGCTGTCTAAAAAGCATGAAGACCACTGTTGTAGCCAAGCATGGAGGTGCACACCTGTAATAACAGCACTTGGGAGGCTGAGGCAGGATGGCAAGTTCAAAGTCAACCTGGACTACATAGTGAGAATAAGGCCGGCCCCGACTACATACTGAGACTCTGTCTCAAAAAAAGAAAAAAAAAATTAAAATTAAAAAAGACCACTGCTCTGTAACCGGCAGCCCTCCTTGGGTCCACAAAACCAAATGCTCTGGACTATGAGAAAGTTACAGTGGGCCCATGGCCAGTCTTAATGAGATCTTAATGAGCACTTCTGGCTAAGGGCTCCCTGTTTGTTTCCCAAGTATGTCTCACCCCACTCCACCCAACTTCCATCCTAAAAGTTCTGCTTCAGCAAAGCTCAACTCTAACCCGCTTCTCTCAAACTCAGATCAACCTGGAGGCTCTACTCTTTCAGATTTAGCCTTTCTACCACGTCCTACTCACTTCTAATTAATTCTTCCTGTCTCTTTTATAATGGGTTTTTACCTGCTTTCTCTTCTCCCTTACCCCCATCACTGTGGCAATCATTAACGGGGCTTGGAGATGGAGCTCTGTGGTAAAGCATGCACTTTAGCATGCGTGAGACTGTGGGTTCAATCGTCAGCACCGCCAAAATAAATTAACTAACTGGCTTGAGTTTTCCTTCCTCCAACCCCCAATCTGAACAATTTTGGCCCTTGCCTCCCACTCATCATCCACAATCCAAACACATAAAATACAAACGTGAAGTTTATCTTCAGTAAAAAGATATTCAAAGCTATGTACACTGAGCTATGGATATTTTCCCCAAGTTCTCAAATCCTCAAGTCTTTTCATTAAATGTCTGGGAGGGATTAGCAGAAATGCTTGTGTCCTCTAAACATGCCAACTTACATATATCCTCAACTTCTCACTCCACTTAAAAATACGAACTATTCATATATGGCAGGGCTTTAGTTTTTAATGTTCTATGGCTTGATGGATATACTGCTTGGGTAGGACCAACAATCAAAATGTTAGCAGAACCTATCAATATGCTGACTTTGACAAGACTGAATTTCTTGAGGGTAAGAAGTACATCATACTTCTTCACAGCACATAATGGTCTGCCTATTTTAGTGTGGGTGGCACTGGGGTTTGAACTCAGGGCCTCACACTGCTAAGCAGGCACACTACTACCTGAGCCACTCTGCCAGCCCTTTTTTGTGTTGGATATTTTTTTAGATAGGGTCTCAAGAACCATTTGCCTGGGCTGTCTTCAAACAGCAATCCTGATCTCTGCCTCTGGAGTAGCTAGGATTACAGGCGTAAGCCTCTGGCAACTCGGCATACTCTTCCTTCTATATAAAGTATTCAAACCATTCAAACCATTTAACTGAACTGTAACAAGATAAAATAGCACTGAACTATTGGCTACTACAGGGCAGGAGGAACAGCTCTTGCATAGCAGGTACTAAGCTCCTGGTTCAGTCCATAGCACAGTTTAAAAAAAAAAAGTGAACCACAGTTTAGTTCACAAGCTCGGACAAGTCACATTCTCTGAGCCTATGGCCCACAAATGGTGATGAATTTTTACATAGCACCTCCATCAAAATATGTTCTCATATCCAGCTGGGGGTATTACTCAGTAGCAGAGTACCAAAAAAAGAGGACAGACTCATGCATGATTATATGCACCTCGAAGACAGGGTTTGCATCTTCTTTCCAATCCCTCACAAAATCCAATACCTAACAATACACTCAACCAACTTGAAACTGGTGGGGACACTGATAGAGCAAAACACAAGAATTCTGGGATGAATCATCACTCCACAATAACCTCGTGTAAGCTGAAACCCTCCTTAACAGATAAGGGGAATTATTTTGCAACTTAATGATGTCAACGCACACTGAACTTTATTTCATTGATGAAAAGAAGTGAATAAAGTATAGTACTTTTTTGGTGTGTGTGGTGCTGGGGACTGCACCCAGGGCCTCGTGCATGCCAGGCATGTTTAGCCTGAGTCACATCCCCAGCCCCTACTGATCAGCATGCTTAACGTTCTTAAGCATTAAATATGTGGATAAACTTGTCTATATATAGTCTGAGTCCAGCATTGTGTGACTAGGCCATATACAAAATTCCTTTCAATTCTTAAACTCCCAGATCTTCTAAGAAAAACTAGGAAAACCCAAACATCACGAATCTACCTCTCCTTTGCCCAACCTGTGGTGGTAATCCAGGAGGGAGGGGAAATGTCACGGTCAGGCACTCAGAGCCTGACCTGAGGCAGCACTGGCCTATTAAGAAATCTGAGTTCACCAGTCCCTTCTGAGTCCCTAATTAACCTCTGGCCTGGTAAGAAGTCACCTCTCCTATCTGTAGAAAGGCCAAGTAAAGAATCTCTAGGGTCCAGCTCTGCCACACAGATGTGCGAACTGAAAGTGCCCGGAGCACCCCTGCGTCCCCAGCCAGGAGTAAAGCTAAGGCCTCCCCGTCCCCCAAGCCCTGGGGCCTCTCCCCCGGGAGTGGAACAGCGCTTCTCAGCCAGGGGACCTGCCCTGCTAACAGCAGGCAGGGCTGTTTCAAATCCCTGCCTGGGGAAGGTTCTTAAGGTGTGGGAAAGGAAGCAGCAGCCGGCGTTCACGGCAGCACAGGTGCGGACCTTCGGTCGCCCTTTCGCAGCGAGAGCGAACGACAGGACTGCGCCCCTGCGAACACGGGGTGCTGGGAAGGGAGGGGCAGGGCGCGCCCGCCTGGAGCCCAGGTCCTCGCTCGCTCGCTCGCTCGCTCACTCACCCACAGGCTGCTGAAGTAGTCCAGCCCGCAGCAGATGAGCGCGCCCGCGTGTGCCAGCAGCACCTGCACGCCCAGGTAGCTGCCGAGGCAGTAGAGGCCGTAAAGCAGCGGGCCGCCCGCGCCCAGCAGCAGCAGCAGGCGGCGGCGGCGCAGCGCCTGCTCGCCCAGGGCCTCCACGCTGTAGTCGGCGAAACAGAGCGGCAGCAGCAGCGCGGCCAGCACGATGGGCGTGTGCGCGCGGTGCAGGCGCTGCAGCCAGTGGCGGCCCAGGCGCGTCAGCGAGCTCTTGAAGGGGTGCAGGAAGGTGCCGCACAGCACGGCCCACAGCAGCGGCCGCAGGAAGGCCTCGAGGATGAAGTACACGAGCACCGCGGCGCCGCAGCACAGGCACACGAACAGCACGGCCCCAGTATTGTAGAAGGCCTGCTTGATGGGTTTGTCAAAGCGCAGCGCCAGGGCCGCTGTCCGCGGAGTCTCTCCAACGCCTCCGCCAACCGGCCCGGCTGCGCGTGGAGCCTGAGGCTCCTGCCGGGGGGAACCTCGCGGGCTGGACCCCTCGGCCGGGCCACCACGGTCGGCCATCGCGCCTCCGCCGCGGCCTCCCAAAGGCACTCCCTGCGAGCCGGCTAGAAGCGCGGGCGGAGGCAGGCGGCGCCGTGCGGCCTTGTGGGCTTTGTAGTTCGCGGCTGGCGGCCAAGCGCTCGCGAGCTCCAAGAAAACTACAACTCCCAGAAAGCTAGGCGCAAGCTCCTTAGCCCCCGCCTCCCTCCGCCCATTGGTCCCTGTAGCGAGCGTCCAGGTAACAAATTTCTGGGGGGGAGGGGGGAGGTAAAGAAAAAGAAAAAACTCCTTTCCCTGATTGGCTGGTGTCAATTTCTTCTCCCAAGGTGGTATCCCCAAAGAGACCCTGCTTTTTCAGAGGTGGAAAACTCAGGCTGCCCATTGCAGTCCCGTGTAGGAGTACTTCTGATGTAGAAGTACCCAGCTTCTGTTTTACTGTTTTATTTAATAAACAGCTTAAAGTGTTCGCTCTGGTGTATTTGAGAGGATTTTATGTATTTTATTTTTGGATAGGATTTTTAAATACCGATTACCATGTGGTTCTAAGTGAACAGTCTCTGTTCTGTGTCTCACTGCTATTCACTCATTTTATCCTTATAACAACCCTACAGAGGTATTATCCCTCTTTAGCTAACAAAAACTGAGGCACAGAGAAGTTAAACATCTGATCAAAGTCACACAGCTACCAAGTGAAATAGGCAGAATTCAAACTCTGGTCTTTCTCAGGGGCTCCTTTGTCGTCTTTTTAAAGCTCCTTGCAAAACTGTAATGTGCAGTCACTATTGCCATTTGTACAGGTGTCAGGGAGCAATCTAAACTCTTTGAAAAGTCCTAGATCATTCTTAAATTGCCACTGTTTCCTTTTAGGATCTGTTGTGGGGCAATTAAGCCTGCAACCTCAATGTCCCCTCTGTCACATGAGAATGATAATAATAGTTCTTTCCTCAGGAAAAGAGGGAAAAGAAAGAAAGAAGGAAAGCTCCGGGCAGTGAAGAATATTTCTGTTCTAGTGGGAAAATGCTGGGATCCAAGCCTACAAACAGCATTTTTATTTTAAAAAAATTCAGGAAGTCTTTACTGAGTACTCAATTTGTGAGTATCCAAAACTTGCTAGTTATCCTTTTTTTGTTTTCAACAAGTCTTCAGATAACTTCAATATAATTTTTCTCCTTTAAAATAAATAAGACAGTTTTCAGATGCAGAAACTGTTGCTTAGTAAGTTTTGTAGACAAAGGGAGTCAGTAAATGATGTAGAAGAAAAAGTCATTCCTTTCCATCTCCATTACAGGTTTCAGGTCAGATTTACAGGTTTTTGGTTTTGTTTTTTGTTTTTTTTTCTTCAGCTGGTCCTTGGAGTTTGACTTGATAAATATTTTGCTTCATTTGTACCTAGTTTCTTTGCTTAATTATTTTGTCAGACCTTCTGAGATAATACTTACAAAGTATGGTCACAGTTGCCATCAGGGTCCACTTTCACTGACTCAGCTGCTATTTATACAGCAAGGCCTCAGCTTTGATTCCAAAACTCTTCAGTCATTTCTAGAAGGGTCCCAAAGGGAGTACCTGGCAAGTGGTTAGAGATGAGTCACCACCAACCATCTATTTCACCTGCTTCCCAAAAGAGTTCACTGAGTCTGGTGCCTATCACAGGTTGCCAGTGCCTGGGTCACTATGTCCAGACTTCTAATCTTTGGGGTGAGTTCCATTCAGAGTTCAGGAAGAAATCTTTCTCTGTGACTTACTGAATCCATGCCCTCTTGTCACTCAAGCTGTAAACCAGGTCACTTGTACCCAATGTATTATACCTCCTTTCATGAATAGTTCCTTTCATGTGTGGCCTCCAGTCCTCTGACAAAAGGGACTCAACCCCATCTGAATTGCCAGTGAAGGATCAAAGACCAAAGCTTCCCCTGGGTCCTCCCATCTCTCCTTCAGTTTCACCAGGAGGGTGCTAGTGTTGTGTAACAAACTCTTTCATCAGTGGACACAAACAAACTGGATGTGGCAAGGGGTGTTAATGTCTAAATTGTGTCGGAGCCCTAGCCCAGACAGAATTTCTAGTGAAGAATGGAACTAAAACAGAAATGTAGGCTGAAGTATTACAAACTTCCTAAAGTAGCATTTGTATGGCCTTACGGAGGCTGGGTTCCCACAGGATTTTGCTCACTCCTATGACTCACCACACTGTGGTCAAAGTCAGTGGTTTATGGCTCTCTTTCCAGAGTTCCAAGGGTACAAGGACTGCATTTGCTTCATTTCTGTGTCCCCAGGACCTGACAAAGCATAAGACATTAAGAATACAGAATGGGAGCTCAGTAAGTGTGTGCTGAGCAAAAGAATGCATAAGTGGTAAATACCCTTCTCAAAAAGCTTGTTTGTGCTTCCTGCAAGAAATGATATTGAAGCTGAAGTATGGTGGTATACACCTGTAATCCTAGCCACTGAAGAGGCCAGAGGTGGGAGGATCATGGTCTGAGGCCAATCAGAGCAAAGTTAGCTGGAGACTCTATCTGAAGAAAACAAACATCCCCAAACAAAAGGACTAGGGGTCTGGCTTGAATGGTAGAGAGCACTTGCCTGGCAAGCGTGAGGGCCTGAGTTCAAATCCCAGTAAAAGATGGTATTGAATCCCTGGAGATATTTCCACTGAGCATTTATGTGGTTGAGAGAAAAGTTAAATTAGTGGGATATAGGAGCATGACACAATTATTTAGGTTCTCTATTGGCCCCAAAACCTCAGGAAGAACAGCCTCTTGGGCTAAGATAAAATAGACTCAGAGCAGACCAGGCTGCCTCTGACCTTCAGTTGGATAAAACCATCAATGTATTTGATTATCATTTACATATGTTTAATTTGGTTTTTCTTTATTTGCAACAGGACGATTTCTGGTTTATAAAAATGGTTGCCATGAAAATGAAAAATGAAATAAGAAAGTTTATTTAAAGCAACAGTACAGTACCTGGGACCCAGTGAGAACCTGAAAGTGGCTCTCAGCATGACTCCTCACTTTGTCCCAGAGAGCCAAAAGGCATCTCCCGCCCTACACACACACACACACACACACAGATATGAAGATAACAGCCTCAGATGAAACCAACACGGGCAGGGAGATCATGTTTGTCTTAGACTTCCTCAAGTATCCACACACCTTTAGTAAGATACAATGGGTATCTGTTTGGCACAAAGTCCATTCTTGCAGTGTTGTGTGTGCAAGCGTGTGAAGAAATAAGTTCAGTGCAGCAGGAGAGATTAAGTGAAAGGGTAATCATACATGCATTCCCTTTTCCAAATCTGCCACTCATTCTGTGTGATTGAGCTCAGTTTCCTCATGTGTAAAGGGGAAATGATCCTTTTACACAGGATGGCAATGGATTAAAAAGGAGAATAAAGGGCTGAGTTTTGTATTTCACACCTGTAATCCTAGTTACTGCGGGGAGAGGGAGCAGAGATCCAGAGGACCTCCATTCCAGGCCAGCCTGGGCAAAAAGTTAGCAAGAGGGCTAGGGTTGTGGCTCAAGTGGTAGAGCCCTGCCTAGAAAGTGCAAGACTCTTGAGTTCAAACCCCAGTACTGAGGCAGGCTGGGAATAGGGATTTTGGGTCATGAGATTTGTCTCAGTGCATTGCATTTTATCTCAGCCCAATGCTATCCTTTGCAGTTGTACATTCTTTTCAACAATTGTAAGTCTTTTACATTTGTAAGTTTTGCCAAAGACTGGAAGTCTTGGGGGAATTCTGCTCGATTGCCTCTCAGGTAAAAGCCTTCTGCTTAAAACATGAATACTGATCACACCTCATACATGTAATTACAGCATAAGGGTCTGACAGAGTGCCCCACACTGTACAACAAGACCTTGTCAATCAAACCTGCTAATCACCCTAGCCCATCCTGCAAAGACTGCCCAGATTTTTCCCATATTTCCCCTTCCATTTACCAAGGCCCTCTGAAATAGAGACTGGAGCTTCTGTCCCACCTGGCGGGAACCCACCACTGCTATCTCTTAAGGTGCCTTTCCCTCACTGTGGGGAGCAGATTATGCAAAGCCTATGAGAACCTGACATAAGCACAGTTGTGCTCAATGATCTACAGGCTGTTTGGCATGGCCCCAGCTGCAGAAGGGGGCGAAGGCAAAATGCAGCACAGCTGCCTTTCCTAAGTTGTTTATGTTCAGAGGAAGAAGTAGGTAGGAGTGCAGGTCTCTCTTGTTACAATGTCACGCCCTTCCCCATGAACTGTTGCTCCACCTCCTTGTTTACCACTGGATATAAAAGACTCGCTGAAGGAGGATGCAAGGTTTTTTGATGGGGATTGGTTGAGGATTGGTGGATTATTGATTGACTGATTGGCTGGCTGTGTGCTGCTTGTGAGGCTCCCACTGATGCTGCTCCTGCTGGCCATTGTGTGTCTCCACCAGAGCAGTTTTCTGCACCGAGAACTTTATACATAGGCTTTAGAAAAGCTATGCTAAAGAAAAGCTAAAGGGAACATGGGACAGTACAAGTCTGAGGGCCAAGATTTTAAGAGAGATTAAAGAAAACATGGGACAGTGTGAGTCTGAGGAAAGAGATTTTAAAGAATAGGAAAAAAAAAGATTTTAGAAGTAAGGTTTTAAAGAATAAGAGAAAGGAAGCACAGTAAAAGAAGAGTTATTAGAGAAAAGAAGCAACGAGGCTGTTGTGTGTCTCCATCCAAGTGCCCAGCACACCTGGCCCCAACTTTCTGCATGTCTGTCCTCTATTGTTTCTCCTTTCTGCATCTCCAGTTGCCCCAGTTAGGTCAGTAGGACCAAGAGCTTGCAAGAGTTTGTGAGACCTCACCTTCAAAAAGCTTTACTATCACTTTCCCTACAGTTTCACCTCTTACCTGAATTCTTCTCTTGTGGGACACAAGTGACTAGGCGTTTTCTGACCAGTCTTCAGAGACCACCCATCTGGTAAAAAAAGTTAGCAAGTTCCCCCTCCCCCATTCTCAATAAAAAAAGCCAGGTGTGTGGCACATGTCTACACTCCCAGCTACACAGGTAGTAGGATTGCAGTCTGAGGCCAGTCCAATCAAAAAATTGGAGACCCTATCCAAAAGTAATGAAAGAAAAAAAAAAAAGGTTGGGGCATGGTTCAAGTAGT